TTTCCTTTCTTTCCATTTCCTTTCTTTCCATTTCCTTTCTTTCCATTTCCTCTCCTCTCCCCTCCCTTCCCTTTCTTTCCCTTCCCTTCCCTTTCTTTCCTTCTTTCCCTCCCCTTCCCTTTTATAGCAGCTAAATAGTTTTACTAAGAGCTGTATGTCTCTGAACTTTGTTTTAGCATTTCCCCATCCATAGGCCTTTAAGAAGACTTTTCAACACCTGTCTTTAAAAACCCATGTCACCTTGCTGGTTTATCATGGATGTCTTTGAAACTTGCCTCCCCAAGTTCCACCTCTCTGTTCCTGATGAACCCAACTCAATTCCCATCATGTCCTTTTCTCTAAGCCTCTTCTAAGCCAGTATGGAATGGGCAGCCTCTGTTCCAGCCTTACCTTCCCGCAAAGCCTCCACTGCCAGGGTAGTTGGGCCGTCCGTACATGCTTTGTTGAATATAGGACTGGTTGGAGCTGGCCTTGGCTGAAAAGGGCGGCTGCTGTCCAGCAAACTGAGGGGAATTCATGCCAGGATTGCTGGCCGTCATCCCAGAAGCCATGGGGTTGCCTGCCGGGTTCATAGCGGAGTTGGCATTGGCCATGGGATTTCCCAGCACCTGGTTGAAAGGGAAGGTGACACCTCAGAGAAGATCCGTACAAGCAATGGTAGCAATTCTAAGAATTTATCTTTTCGTATTTGAGAGGCGAAAATAACGGAAGGATGGATCATCAAAATAATTCGGTGGGGATATAGAAGCATTGGGATAATACCCTTGCTTGGCTCGTCCCAAAGATGCTTCCCAAAAGGAAACTGGACTTTCTTAGCCCAGTTGAATTAATCTAGTTCAATCTACAACTGTGCCGCCTGCAGTCCGATCTAAGCATAGTTCACAAAATTGTCTGCTGTAACGTCTTGCCTGTCAATGACTTCTTCAGCCTCAACCACAATAATACACGGGCAAACAACCGATACAAACTCAAGGTGAACCGCTCTAAACGCGATTGCAGAAAATACGACTTCAGTGGTCAACGCCTGGAATGCCCTACCCGACTCCGTTGTCACAGCCTCAACCCCTCACAGCTTCAACCTCAAACTGTCTACCGTGGACCTCACCCCATTCCTAAGAGGTCCTTAAAGGGGGCGTGCATAAGCGCACCAGCGTGTCTACCCTCCCTGTCTTATTGTCCCCATTTATCTATATTTACTTCCCTCGTTCTTGTTTATGTTCATACTTATACTTGTTATCCTGTACATGCTTGACAAACAAACAAACAAATAACGTTTTTCATTTCTCTTCTCATCCAGGAAATTCATCATGAACTGAAGAACCTTCAAGGAACAGAAGCAAGGAGAAAACCAAGGAAGTCCGATTGCCCTTTGGGAAAAAAGCATTTTTGGGACAACCATGACCTGGATGATTAAGAATCTCCATAGACACCTTGCTTAACTTCTTTACAACTTGTTCAACTCTGTTGGACCAAGAGAGGTACCATCAACGGTGACAACACTGGACCATAAACCCCTGCAGCCAACACACTGATGGTTCTTTCCTTCCTTTCTTCTTCTTATTTTCTATGGAACTTCTCATTCATCCTGGTCATGGTTGTCCCAAAAGTGTTTTTTTTTCCAAAGGGCAACTGGACTTTCTTGTTTTTTTTTTCCTTTGAAAACCTTTAGGGTTTGCATTTTAGTAAAAACAACTTTGAAACTTTCTTCTTCTTCTAAGCCATAACTTACATAGCCAGATCAGTAAAATCCAAGATCGCAGCCTTGCTTGGATTCAGGCCTCCAAATAATTGGTCTCTTGGTAGCTTGCTTAAGTTTAATATGCACACAATAGACAGCGTCAATTATCGAAGTTCAGTTTTGCAGTGGAGTAAACAGAAGTGTGAAATAAAGAAGAGAAATCCAGACAAGTCTAAGAGAGAACAGCTTCCAATCTTGCAGGACTCTCAGAAGGAGGGAACATTATTAACCTGTGTCCAAAGTCACAAGTTTTACCCTTAGCAAATCTTAGTAAAAGTCTAGGAGATGTTTCTGCTTTAAGAGTAAGCCACACCAAGTAGGAAAGACCAATTATGTGTACAAGACGTGTATCCAAATCTGGATGGCTTGTTTCAACACCTTATGATGATCCAAAGGTTACAGTGACTGAACTATCTGCATCCATTCCCTGGCTATCCACAGAACAGAGGTGGGCAAAATTCAATCTTTTGTGACTTACAGACTTTTTGATCTTTAAAAATACCGTGGCCACCAATGAGTGCTTCTCTACAAAGAGAAGGCCTTAACAATTCTACAAACACAGCGCTTGTGAGTCAGACACTTTGATTTCAGAATGAACATCCAGCATGCAGCTATCTCACAGTCACTCGTGCCCTGGTCCCTTCCCGTCTTGACTATGGCAATGGGCTCTACATGGGGTTGCCCTTGAAGAGCATCCAGGGCAAAATACAGCAGCCCACATGGTTTTGTGCAGACCCCAGTATGCACATGTTTCACCTCTCCTGCGGGAGCTGCATTGGTTGCCGATTTGCTTCCGGGGTGCAATTCAAGGTGCTGGTTGTCACTTTTATAGCCCTCCATGGCATGGGACCTCAGGTGATCTGAGGGACTGTCTCTTGCCCGTCATATCTACCTTACCCCTTAGAGCAGGGAGGCAGGGACTTCTGCGGGTCCCATCCCCGAGGGAGATACCAGGGGGACCCAGAAGAAGGGCCTTCTGTGTGGTGGGCCCCTCTCTGTGGAACATCACCCCCCTCCAGAGATTAGAACAGCCCCCACTCTGAGGTGCAGAAGTCCTGGTTCTGCCAGCGGGCCTGGGGAATCCAGAGCGGGATGGAGCCCATAAAGTAACTCATGTAATCTGCTATCATCAGGGTGGAGGGTGGGAGCTGGGGGCTGAATTTATTCTATTGTACTGTATTAATTAATTTGATTCTTTTTTTATTAGTTTCATTGTTTGAAATGTGGTTTTATATTTTATAAGCCGCTTTGAGTCACCATGGGCGAATAGGCGGCAATATACATTAAATAATAATAAACAATGATATAAATTCCTTAAATAAATTAATCATAATAATATCTCATGGCCCTTTCAGGTCCCAGGAACCAGCAGCAATCCAGCAAGTCAGAAATTCAGCTTCATCCTCCATCGTGAGCAACATTACCTGTTGAATCAAGCTCACACCCGAACCAAACATTGCTCAGCCCTTGTGGGGCAGGAAGGACATCTATCTGACCCCCCCACCCCTGAAAAAAACCCAAAACAGAAACGGAGAGAAGATTCACCGAAAGTTGCTGCTTACCTGGCTCTGTGATGTGTTAGTCACACCCCATACTGTCGTGACCACCGATAGGGACCCTGGCGGTTGGTTGCTATTTTGTTGCCAGGGAACAGAGTCGTAAGGAAATGATCCATCGCTATGTTAAGATATGAAAGAGAAAAGGGAAAAAAAGGGGGGAAGGGAGAGAGACACACATAGTAGATAAAGTCACACTTTAATACTTTCATATCAATGACTACCGGGGCTGGTGGCAAGAGGTATATTTTCATTTCTCAATTGGTTTCTCTTCGAGCTAACTTGGTGGATGTTGAGGTGTCCTCAGAGCTTTGCTTGTTTTCTTGCAGATGTTTCATTACCCAGCTAGGTAACATCATCAGTGCTGGTGTTAGTGATGATGTTACTTAATTTGGGTCATGAAACGTTTGCAAAAATAACCAAGCAAGCTCAGGAGAGCCCCAAGGACCTGTCATTTCATCCCTGAGCTACAAATATTCTCCTTCCCTTTCTTCCCTCCCTCCCTTTGGTACTACCACTGATGATGTAACCTAGTTGGGTCATGAAACGTCTGCAAAAAAACCAAAAACAAAAGCAAGCTCAGAGAGCACCAAGGACCCCCCCCTCATGTCAACCCTGAGCTACAAATATCTTCCTTCCTTCCTTCCTTCCTTCCTTCCTTCCTTCCTTCCTTCCTTCCTTCCTTCTCTTTGGTACTAGCACTGATGATGTAACCTAGTTGGGTCATGAAACGTCTGCAAAAAAAAACAAAAACAAAAGCAAGCTCAGAGACCTCCAAGGACCGCCCCCCATGTCAACCCTGAGCTACAAATATCTTCCTTCCTTCCTTCCTTCCTTCCTTCCTTCCTTCCTTCCTTCCTTCCTTCCTTCCTTCTCTTTGGTACTAGCACTGATGATGTAACCTAGTTGGGTCATGAAACGTCTGCAAAAAAAACAAAAACAAAAGCAAGCTCAGAGACCTCCAAGGACCGCCCCCCATGTCAACCCTGAGCTACAAATATCTTCCTTCCTTCCTTCCTTCCTTCCTTCCTTCCTTCCTTCCTTCCTTCCTTCCTTCCTTCCTTCCTTGTCTTTGGTACTAGCTCTGATGATGTTACCTATGGTAGTTGGATAATGAAATGTCTGCAAAAAGAAAAGAAAAGCAAGCTCAGATAGCACCAAGGACCCCTCAGGTCAACCCTAAGCTACAAATATCCTCCTATATTGGTGGACCTTCCCGACAGAGACTCTTGAGACTGCAGAGAAGAGGGACTTTTTGGGGAGCAGAGAAGAGGAGAAATACATAGAATTGAAGAGGGAGCACAAAATGTGTATGACAACGAGGACAAAAAGCAAATGGGAATGAAGGCAGGTGAGGTGTGAAATGTTGGGGTGCCAACCTCCTCACGTTCGCTTCCCTGTCAAAACGGCCCCCGGCAAAGCGGGATTTTTTGGGGGGAGATGTTGAGTACCTGACAGAATACATGAATCCCTGGGGATTTTGGCTCTGCGTGGTTGACAGGCATTCCTCGACTTACGGCCACCATGGAGTCCAACATTTCCGTCACTAAGCAAGGCAGCTGTTGAGGGAGCGGTGCCTCGTTTTATGTCCTTGCTTTGCCACATTTGTTTAAGGGAATTGCTGCCATTGTTAGGCGGACCACATGGTCATTGGGCAAATCCAGCTTTCCCCTACTGAGTCTGCTGGTCCGAGAAGTCAGTTGGAAAAGTTACCAAAAGTCATTAATACATGCCAGTTGCCAAGTCCTTGAATTTTGATGGGGATGTTTGCAATAAGTGTGAAAGTCTTAAGTTACTTTTTTTCCCCAGGGCCGTTGGAACTTCAAATGGTTCTAAGTCGAGGGATGCCAGCTTTGCTGCAAGCTTTTGTGTCCCTTCAAGCCAACCCTTTCTAGCGTGGCTAGAATAAAATTACAGAACCACTTAAAATGGGACTTCCATCCCATCCTGAACAAGCCAAAAATGCTCTTTGTGAACTGCATGAAAACTAATAGTGCCTAAGACTCAACTTTGGTCTACAAAGTCCTTCTTGAAATGTTATCCTGATTTACTTCTTTCACGGCATCAAGCTTTATCTGCCCCTTCTCAAACTGGGAATAACAATCCTGAGATCAGCCAATACTAAAAATTAAAATGAATGAGCTGGAGGGGGACCTTGGAGGTCTTCTAGTCCAGCCCCCTGCTCAAGCAGGAGAACCTATACTATTTCAGATAAGTGACTGTCTACACTCTTCATGAAAGCATCCAGTGATGGAGCACCCACAATTTCTAAAGGAAAAGATGTTCAGCTGGTTAATTGTCCTCACTGTTGAGAAGTTTCTCCTTACTTTTAGGTTGCTTCACTCTAATTAGTTTTTTGTCCTGCTTTTTGGAGTTTTGGAGAATAATTTGACCCCCTCTTCTTTGTGGCAGCCCCTGAAATACTGGAAGACTGCTATCACGTCACCCCTAATTCTTCTTTTCTCTAGACTTGCCAAACCCAAATCCTGCAAACCGTTCTTCATATGTTTTGATCTACAGGCCTTTGATCATCTGAGTTGCTCTTCTCTGAACTTTTTCCAAAGTCTCAACCTCCTTTTTGTAGTGTGGTAACCAAAACTGTATGCAGTACTCCAAGTGTGTTCTGTACTAGGGTTTTATAAAGCAGCGCTGATACTTCGCATGATTTGGATTCTATGCCTTTGTTTATACAACCCAGAGTTGTATTAGCTTTTTCGGCTGCTCCTGCACACGTCTGGCTCGTATTCAAGTGATCCTCCAACTAGGACCCCAATTGTCCCTCTCACAGTTACTGTCTCTGAGCCAGGTTTTGCCTAATCTCTACTTGTACCTTTGGTTTTTTACCTACCTAAATGTAAACCTTTGCTTTTCTCCACATTGAAAGTAATTTTGTTGGTTAGGGCTGTTTGTTGGAGATGAACCAGTTGCTGAGCTTTTGAATTTTGATTGTGTGCCTGTGGGGATGCTAGGTCACGTTTTCCAGTCGCTAAACGAATTGTTGTAAGTTGAACCCATATGAGCTCATTGGCCTAGTAGTTAAGGCACCAGGCTTGAAAGCAGGAAACTGGGAGTTCTACTCCAACCTTAGGCATGAAAGCTGAGTGGGCGACTTCAACCCACTCCTTCTCTCTCTCTCTCTCTCTCTCTCTCTCTCAGCCCAACTCAGCTCACAAGTTGGTTGTGGTGGGGAAAATCGGGAACGAATGTGTGTGTGTGTGTGTGTTTGTTGCCTGGAGTTATTTGTAACAATAATAAATATAACATGCAGGGAAATCAGTGAGATAAAATAATACAAATAATGGGCTTGGAATGTTTTAAAGGAAACCACAGAAATGTGAATGACTGTATTATTAAAACCCTGAGTTGATAAAACTTTTTTGTCGCAGCTAAGATTATCTATTCCCCGTGAATCAGGGCTCCCCAAACTTGGCAGCTTTAAGACTTGTGGACTTCAGCTCCCAGAATTCTCCAGCCAGTTGGAGTTGAAGTCCACCAGTCTTAAACTTGCCAAGTTTAGTGACCTCTTCTATAAATGATATTTGTGGATTAGATTTATAGGTGGGGGTCTTATTACAACTCCCTTTTATAGATCAAGTCGAGGTTGACAAACTAAAGTAGAAATTGTATACTCCCATCTAGGTCTCCATGGTCTCACCTGTCCCAGGACTGAATATGGCAGGAATCATGATTAATTCATCTGACAAGCTATAGCTACGATGTTTCAAATTCACTCTAGTAATCTTCCTGCTCTTGTGTGTGTTTTCCTCCTGCACGTATGCTACCTACTGTAGGTAGTCCTCGACTTATGATCCCAACTGAGCCCCAAAATTTCTGTTTAGTTAAATGGGTTTTGCCTTGTTTGACGACTTCCCTTGCCCCTGCTGTTAAGTGAATCCTGGCAGTGGTAACGTTAGGAATGCAGTTGTCAATTTAATCTGGCATTCCCCCCATGGTCTTGGCTTGTCAGAAGGCTGCCAAAGGGGAATTCATGTGACTCCTGGGGTACTGTGACCCCATCATAAAGATGAGTCAAGAGTGTGAATTTTGATCATGTGGGGATGTTGCAATGGTTATAAGGGTGGAAAATGGTCATCTGTCTCATTTTTTTCAGCACCGTTGTCGCTAAACCAACCGCTGTAAGTCGAGGACTATCCATACGCGCCTAATTCATGCCCGCAATAACATAGAAAGGGATTGCTTCCTCTTATCTGTCATTTTTCCTCTCCTATGGGTTCCATCTGTATCAGTGACAAGCACGCCTATCACATCTTTGAAAAAGATGACAAGGAAAAGTGGCTGGCAAACGACAACGATATTTATAGATTTAAATAGCATCTCAGGTTGGATGTAAACATAAAACATCACATTAAAAGTGAAAAAGGTTGGGGCTGCTGCAAGTCCTTTTGGTTGAATTATCCACTTTACTAAATCTTATTGCTATGACCACTGATGGTGGAGAATTAAAAGTGTTCTTTTCACTAGCACATGGGTGTAAAGGAAACAGTTGTGCTCACATGCAAAAGACCTCTAAGGACTGGAAAGGGTTGTGTCCGCAAGGATTAAACACTTGTTGTGAAGCTTCTGTTGTTTGCTAAATGTGTGAGTCCAAATGATCAACATTGGATAGGTCAACAACTCTTATTGGCTGAAAATGAACAATGTAAAGGAACGGGAAAAGGAAGAACACATATGGAAAAAAAATTAAATGATTTTGAAATATCTTCTTAACGATGATTCATTGTTAAGAATCTTTATGCTGAGGCCTAGCCTTTAGCATGGGCATATTCTGTGCTTAAAGAGTAATAAATCATAAGTGTAAAGAAAAGAAAACTTCATTAGAAAATATAAATCCTTCCTCCAAAACAATTCATAGAAAGTTGTTTAGATATTGGAAAAACAGTCTACTAAAGATGGTTTCAGATGTTGGCTAGATAGCTAAAATAAATCTTAATGGACTTTGTTATTGAGAGATTTAAAAAGGAAAAAAAAGGAGAATGGGAAGGAGAAAGAAAATATCAGAATGTGGAACCCTATCTTAGGTCATCTGTACGTAAGAAATTATTCATTTCAAATCTGACCTAGATCTTAGGATGATGCAAATCTTCATTCTAAATATTGAAATCTGGAAATATGAACACCATACTCTTTTATCTGCCACTCAAATCTCATTTCTCTAAGTTCTTTGAAAATCTGGTGGGATTTGGGGAAAGAATAAGGGGGGGGGAGTTCAGTCAAAATGCAACAAATTCTCTACTACCGGAACTCTTGACATTGTTTGAATTTGAAGAAAACAGAAAAAAAAACCACCACCCCCCTCAACTAATAGGGCCCTTGGCCTTCCAAAGGTTAAACATTCATGTGCTAGATCATGGTAGTTTGTTCTCAGATTCACAAGAGATATATACTTCCTTAAAACACATTAGGAAACTCCAGAATATAGACATCTAAAGCTGGACTGACTTTCTTGACAAATGTATATTTTCTTTTATGTACACTGAGAATATTTGCACCAAGACAAATTCCTTGTGTGTCCAATCACACTTGGCCAATAAAGAATTCTATTCTATTCTATTTTTTGGTGGACAAGTTTGGAAAATCTATTTTCACTCTCAAGAGACTGGTTTTGGGTAAGTTCTTTTTGTTAATGTTTCCTACGCCTCTTGGTGTGTTTCATTTTGCCACTTCTCTTGATTTGCCATGGGGTTGCCCACAACATTTCCCACCATAATTGGGAAGAGAAGAAGCAAACAAACAATTTTGCAAATGTCCCCAACCAACTCTACCATTAGGTAGCTACGCCTAAGATGACGAATGAACGTGTCCCGGGATAATGTTACAGGATCTAATCTGGGTTGGTCACGGGGTATCAGAGGTTTAATCTTCCGAGCATTCAGACTTGTGCTGGAGTCATTAAGCTACTGAGATTGTTGGCTGAGCAGGTACAAAAACAGCCAGGGAAATAATTGAAGCCTGGGAAATGGGGGCCTTGTCAGTCAACAGAAGTCCCCCAGCTTTTCAGGTGCTTAGGAGACAGAGGACTTGGCAGCACAAGGAAACAACAGCCAACAATAGCCGGCCATCAACACCCCAATCACCAACTAATTAGCCACCCACAACCAGGCACGACATCAATACTACGCTTAGCAAACATTCTGGAGAATGAGAAGTTCCCTGAGGACAGGCTCCAGCACCAGTCTGAAAGTTCGGAAGACTAAATTTCTGATCCCAGTGACTGACCCAGACTGGATCCTGCAAGCATCAAATAATTATCTTCATTGCATTGAAAAAAAAACCCTTCTTCCAGGGACCGTCAGCAGGATCTGCAACAAACGATGATGATGTAATAATGATGATGCAAGCATGATAATGAATTCAGTCAATAACAGCATAGTTGCATCATAATGGTCTAAAGGAAGTATGAGGTTGTAGGGCTGGCATGATGATGTCATCACACCTGGGTTCCTCAACTACCTTCCTGGTCTTCCCCAGTGGGTGCCCTGGACTCCTTATTATGCTCTTTTCTTTTTTTTGCTTCAGATGTTAGAAAAAAAAACTTGGTCGGTGTTAAATACGATGCACCTGGGTTTGAAAAGATAGGATGTGTAGTTGCTATTCTACCTCAGGCAGAGAAATAATAACCTGAGACAACTCTTCCTACCCTGGAACATGAGGAAAGCAATTGGAGGGCTAAAGACCACAGGTATTCCTGATGGGCTCGAGACAGGTGAAAGATCTAGGGGAACCTTGGTTAGAGGGGAAGGGATCCATTTCTCTCTCTCTATGAACACTCCCTTTCTGCGGCTAGTCCACGAAAAGACATAAAGAGTCTTTCACAGCCTGTTTCAGAGCCTGGCTCTTTAGCTGTAGAGACTCACGCTTTCAGCTCTGGAGGTCCCCGTTTCAACCTCTGGGGTCTGTCAAGATGGCAGCCGTCACATATGCACCTAAGAATCAGAAGGGAAAGTGTAGATCCAGAATAAAAATTGAAATCCCTAACAACGTACATCGTTTTGCATTTGGTATCTGGCTCTCACGAGATCTGGAAGCTAAGCTTCTCCAGGCAATGGGCTCCCCCCACATACATATACATAATGCCAAGTGGTGCGTCCTGTCACAGTGTCCAGTGCGCTTGGCTGATTGATGCCCCTCCTCATTTGGTTTGCCAATGGGAAGTCATGGGCATCTCATTTGGAACTCCTCCAATATGAAATCCATCCCAGCTCCTCGTCACCACAAAGCTAAGCATAGCTTGTACAACCCCACAGAACCTCTGGGTCATCTGGAATTCTACAATTGGCTAAGGAAGACGGGTCCAGGGATGGGCTGCTGGGGATTCATAGGGGTTTCGGAGAGCCCCGAGCTAAGATTCTGTGCAGTTCAGAGAATCCTCAGATCCCACTCCTGGTTGGCCCCGCCCCAACACGCCCCTCTCAGGAGTCCCCACATGGCCCGTTTTGGATGCAGGTAAGTGCTGGGTGCGCGCAGAGGCTCAATGAGGGCAAAAAAAAATGGGCCTCCTGGAAGTTCGGGAAGGCCAAAAATTGGGGCCCATTTCTGGTTTCCAGAGGGCCTCCGGAGCCCAGGGAGGCTGTTTTCACCCTCCCGGAGGCTTGAGTAAATCCTCTGGAGCCTGGGGAGGGTAAAAACACCCCCCCCCCGCATCTGTGGTGTAGGAGTCTGACTAGGCCACACCCAGCAACCAGGCAGAGAACCCATTGCTAAAATTGGTGAAGCCCCTGGACAGGTCTGCAACAATATGCCACAGCCAACTCACCACGGCCAACTTGCACAGCCAACTCGATGCAAGAGTTACACTAACATCAAAGCAATGGTTGAATAGAATCATTAAAGAAAGGATGCAAAAGGAAGGGACGCAAATTAAATGGGAATGACAAAAAAATTAAAATAATGTATTAAAATAAATAGTTATGTTAAATTGTCCCGCAGCAAGTTGGCCATGGTGAGTTGGCTGCAGTGAGTTGGTTGTGGCAATTTGGCCACAGTGAGTCGTTCCATTCCGAAGGGAGACCTATTTGATCTGTGGAATCTGGGGCTGCTGTTAAACCTGTTGGGATGTCCATTCTCAAAGATGGGCTCATCTCTGTCCCCCAGCCAACCCTTGCCAGCAACAACCACTGATGTGGACAATCAACATGATCACCCAGCTTTTTTTGTCACACATTTTCTTTCCTTTGCTGTATTTTTAAGGCACTCAATCACCACAAGTGTAATGAGAAAGAATCTGGTATAAGAATGCAGGTTTGGGTGATTCCCCCCCCCCCCCCCCGAGATTGCTTAAATAATTGAACTCCAAAGACATGAGGCCACTTGAGGAAAGCATCAAACAGGCCTGAGTCTAACAACATTCATCTCACAAGTGATCAGCTCTGTCTTGGCAATAAATAATATAGGGAATGGAAGCACCTAATTCAAGACGGGACAAAGGAAGAGCTTATCTATAAACAGAGATAGCAGACCCCACCCGCTTCCAGCACTGATGAGGTGACTGATTTGGGTGATAAAACATCTGCAAGAAGACAACCAATCTCAGAATGCAGAAAGGACCCTAAAGTTCAACCCTGAGCTACAAGTATGCTGTTCTCTTGCAGCATGTCTTTACTGAGATAATCCTGGTACATTTTCTAAAAGTCCATTGGATTTATTGTGCCATCGTTCTTGATCAGCAGAGGAAGATACCAAGAAGGTCAGAAACAGCACAAGTCAGTCTCCCCGTCCTCTCTCTCCCCGTGTCCCTCTCCCTCTCTCCTCCTCCCTTTCTCTCTCTCCCTTTCTCCTCTTCCCCCCTCTCTCTCCTTCTCTCCCTCCCTCCCTCTCTCTGTGCCTCTGTGCTAAAATTGACTAGAGGTCTGCTGAGAAACATTTCACTCATTGCATTACTCAGAAACAAATCTGAATTTGCCAGGGAGCAACAGAGAATCCCAGATTTTTAACAATTATTTTGATGTCCATATTATACCAGAGACGAGCACAACAGATACAACACACAACCACAACATAAGCAGCTGCCCATCATTGCCTCAATACAGCAGAGGGTTTTCAGCAGATGACTTGTACTCAACCTTTCCTGTTCTTACAAATTTCTGGTCCCATTCCTTATGGTAAGCATTTTGGCATGTTGGTTGGGAATTTATAGATGGAATTGTTAGAATCATGGCACGTTCTGCTACCTATAGGTTCAACAACCCGATAGGCTTCGAACTTATCCCAACGTTGGAAATATAGCACTTAGACTTATATACCACTTCATGATACCTTACAGCCCTCTCTAAATGGTTTACGGAGTCAGCATATTGGCCTCCAACAATCTGGGTTCTCAATTTACTGACTTTAGAAAGATGGAAGGCTGAGTCAACCTTGAGCCAGTCAAGATTGAATTCTTGGAGTACCGCAGTAGTGCATTCTAACCACTACATCACCATGGCTCTTATAACACATGTAAAAAGCATGTAAAATAGTAAGAAGGGTTAAAACTAAATGACACTTGCCCAGGATCGGGCCATATCGACAGCATGTTCTCTTGCCAGCATGAGGTCTTCCCCCATATATGTTGAAGGACACTGTATGCACCGTGCCATGTGTGAGATGAAATGTTCTTCTCCACATTCCCAAAGAGTATCTTCTATTGGAGAGCCCCATTTTCTTAGATTGTCTAAAGAGGAGGAGGGAGGAGTCAACCTGTTTTCCAAAGCACCAGAAGGCAGGATAAGAAGCAATGGATGGAAATTGACCAAGGAGAGAAGCAACCTAGAACTAAGGAGACATTTCCAAAAAAGAACAATTCACCAGTAGAATAGCTTACCATTGGAAGTCACTGGAGGATTTAAAAAAGAGATTGAACAACCATTTTCTAAAATGGTATAGGGTCTCCTGCTTGAGCAAGGGGTCAGACTGGAAGATCTTCAAAGTTCCTTCCAACTGTGTTATTCTGTTGTTCCATACAGGCCAAGGTGATTCCTGACCGCATGGCAGTCATATGATTGTGCCCAATTGCCTAGTAGCTCCTTACTTGTCTTCCATAGTTCCAGGGTGGTCTGTGGCAGCTGATGGTTAAGGGTGGGTGGGTTGAACTTTTGAGGAAGCTGTTCCTTGATCAGTCTCAACCTTGGAGGTTGATGGCCGTACAGTAGGTGTGTTTCTGTAGATGTTGCTTTAACCCCCTCTTTCTGACCTTGGCAGTTTCTCCATCTTTTGCTGCTTGTTCTGTCAGGAGCTCTGGTCATGTGAAGGCATCATTAAGAGGCTTCACCTTCCACAGCTGCACTGCTACTCTTCCCAAGGGAGAACATTGGTAGAGAAATTGCTGATCCACAGTTTCCTCCAAAGTCACCTTGGATGTCAGTGTTATTTGACTAGCAAGGAATGCAGGCTGCAGCACTTCCTATTTTGGAAAGCTGCCTCAGATGATTGGAGGACAGCTTTCCTTCATCTTAGGAACAGTTGCAAGAAGAAGGAATGTTCAAATATCAATGAAGACTCAAATTATCCAGGCCGAAGGGGTCTATGTGAGATGTTGTGTTGCTCATCCAAGCAACTTCATCAGACAAAGTAAAAATTAGTGAGGCAGAAAGTCAGAGAGTCATTGGAATGTGCCAACTCTTGCCACACCAACTTCAGGGATTTCATCCCAAAATGCATCGCAATGTGTCAATCATTGTGATTGTTCAAGTGATGTTACGGCAATGCTACAAAGAACCAGACTTTGCTTGGAAATCAGAACTGCACATTGATGGAGAAACGTTGAAAAACCAACCATGGAGGATTGGCTCATGAAGGTGGCAGAATTTGCAGAAATGGCAAATTCATGTTCATTGCGTCATCTAACACAATTCAATGCCATCTAACCATTTCATCCTCTTCTGTCCCCTTCTCCTTTCACCTTCCATCTTTCCCAATGTCAGGGTCTTCTCCAAGGAGTCCTCTTGAGCTTCAGCTTCAGGATCTGTATTTGAGCTTCAGCTTCAGGATCTGTCCTTCCAAAGAAAGGTTAATTTCCTTCAGGATTGACTGATTGGATCTCCTTGCAGTCCAAAGGACTTTCAAGTGTCTTCTCCAACACCACAACCCCAACAACTTCAGGATCTGTCCTTCCAAAGAACAGTCAAGGGTGATTTCCTTCAGGATTGACTGATTGGATCTCCTTGAAATCCAAGGAACTCTCAAGAGTCTTCTTCAACACCACAATTTCAAAGCATCAACTCTTCGGCACTCAGCCTTCCATATGGTCCAACTCTCACAGCCGTACATTACTACTGGAATGAGATTCTTAAACAGCGCCAAAGCTTGCTAGAAAGATCATACTAAAGTTTCAGCTGTTGGAATCTGTTGTTCTTCCTTGGGATCCATAAGACTCTTCACTCACCCACCCACTGGTTTCCATGCTAGACTATTTATTACACAAAGAACAAAGTTCAGCGTGGCACCTTGAAGAATAACCATACCGTGGCAAAAACGTTTAGTCTCTTTTCATGCGCTGGCTGAGTTGGGAGTTGAAGTCCACAAGTCATAAAGTTGCCAAGATTGGAGACCCCTGATTTAAAGCATGGAATTGAGGGAGACTTCCTTATTTCAGCCCAGAACAAGGCTTATAGAATCAACATTTTTGCCTTGCAAACAAATGCTGTGCATAATATTATTCCTGTTGAACAGTAATGCTAGAGTAATTAAGATGCCTAATTATGCCTTGAGGACAGCAAGCATGTTTGGAGTGCAAAGGTCTGATGAAATTTGTAATTGCACTAATAAACTCAACCGTACTCACGGTCAGTACAGGGGACAAAGAAGAATAACAGGATAAAACCATGGCCGACCAGGGAGAGAATTAATGTTGCAACCCTGATCCAGAGATTCGAAAATGGTTTTCCCATGTGAGAATTATAATTATAATGCTAATACAAAAATAACTACCCTCTTCTCTTTGCTTGTC